GATGTAGCTTTATGTCAGGTTTGCGGATCAGTGTATGCCCGATTCCGAAACAAATCAATGACCAGAGGAAAATCCTTATTTGGTACCTTGAATCCAGAGCATTCTCAAAACCCGCTTCAGTGCCAGGTATGTGTGCTACCTTATATTTTGTTTTCAGAGGAAGAGTGAATTAGTAGACTTAGTGTGAAAATCTAAGCGATAGTTATGAAGTTGACCTTCTTGCTGTCTTATCTCTTCTAGCTACGTCCTTTACAGGTGCTGGTCACAGTGCCAGAATCCTTAGAGGCTTTGATGCTCTCTACCAATCCAAAGGTGCAAGAGTTCGTATCTCACATCAAATATGTAGTCTTTGATGAAGTCCATTCAATCGGGTAAGCCATATCTTGACTATCATCTGTTCATAATAGCGACCGCGTTTTAGTGCCTCCCCTGAAGCTCACATCTGGGAACATTTGCTGCTTCTCATTCAATGCCCCTTCCTCGCTCTTTCGGCAACAATCGGAAATGCAGCTAAGCTTCATGCGTGGCTGGATAATGCTGAGCAGAGTAAAACGGACCATAAGCGCAAGGTAAAGTCAAATGAGATATAAAATAACTTGAAAATCTTCATCTTTTGCAAATCAGTGTTTTCTTTCTCTCACCTAGAGAGGCCTGACCACAGATCTCATCTGCATTCATGTGATGGATTCAGGTTGACCTCATCATACATCATGAACGCTATTCCGAGCTGGAACTATCCATCATGCGCGTGGAGAAGCCACAGCCTATCGAGGCTAGCCCTAATAACGGTACAGTACCTCATCTTCAAATTTTATAATTATTCACCTGTTTCGCAGATCTCGAAGTGGCTTCTTCGGCAACATCCGATTCCATCGATGGAGATATAATCGAGCCATTCATGCCGTACGGTGTGTTCATGCCCGAAAAAATTAGGATGTTTGGTATTCCCGATGACCAGCAGTTGACGGCTCGACAGATCTTGCAGCTCTACACGACTATGGCTTCTGTTGACGAAAAAACCAAGTATTCATAAAACGATGCTTTGTAAAAAGTAATACTAAACCCATCTGCTTCAGAAATGAGTTTGAGCCATGTCATTTTTACGGGTACAAAGCAAGTGAACCGCTATGGCTTTCGCGTTCTGCCTTACGAAAGCTCGAGAATGGCTTGAAACAGCGTCTCCTTCAGTGGCTTGCGGAAGATGAACAGAAATTGAAGAAGGTTAGAGCCTTATCTTGAATTCAAACCTTAGTACTTTTTTTGCAGGTACTGAATAACTTGGCGAAGCCCATCGATGAACAACTGCAACATCGCGCTGTGCCTTTCAATAAGGTGACAATTTTCTGAGCGACCGATCCATGGCAACTCAATCTTATTCTAGGAAAAACTTGCTTTGGAAAATATCGTCCGCATTGTTGATGAGATGAACGAGAAAAATATGCTACCTGCAATGTGTTTCAACGATGATAGAAGCGTTTGCGAGAACCTTGCTATCCGACTTTGCAAAGAGCTCGAAGACAGAGAAATGGTACCTAACTTTGCTCTATACCTGAATATATAATTTTCTATTTTTCAGGAGTTCATGAATAGCGCTGAATTTAAAACGAAGTACGCAATAAAAGATGAAGATGTGAGTTGTAAGGGTAGATAAAGATTGATTGGCATGTTTCATCTGTTGAATCTTGAATGCTTAGAAAATTGTCAAACTTGCGAAGAGAAAGCGTGACATGGCTGACAAAAAGAAAGGAGAAAAGAACGAAGATGAAGACGAGAAGAAAGAAACGGAGGAGCTTGATCCCTTGGCAGC